GCCTTTTCATGGATAGAAACAGGTTAACCTAACCCTTTTTCATTGTACTCTTTGTAATTATCATGGAACGATGAAAATGAAAGATAAAAGTTATGGAAATATTAATAATGCAGTTACACGCCCAGGTAATAAGTTAATTTATATTGATAAGCACTTTTTGTGCCTTTTACCTTTTTTTATCAGTCCAATTATACACCTTTAAAAGGCTTTATTTTCATGAGCAACTTTCAACATTCAACTTTAAAGGTGCCAATAAAGGATAATTAACAATTAAAATGCAACAGTAGTTATTGTTTCAATGGTTAAGATCAGTAAACAGTGAAAAGAGATTCAATTTTTGGGTTTTGCATAAAACCAAAGATGAAAATTGATGATATCTAGATTGTGATTTGAGTTGAATACATTTCATGATTGTCCTTTGGCTTGTTCAATGGTGTTAACTGTTAATTAACTGAGAATCTGATAAGTCCATTAGCAAGTGAATATTGGGTTTAAGATAAAGGCCTGAGGTTGTTTCAATTATAAATGTTCAAATTTAGATTCAAAGGGATCGCAACACACCCAAAGAACCAGATTAATGATATAGTTGAGGCTCACTGATCATGATGATCACTGTAAAGAGATTTTCAAAATTTCAAGGAATCTATTTTTTATTAAAACTCGCCTTTTTGATCAAATCTAATCATGATTAAGAGCTTTCATCTTCACCAAAAATTTAAACCTATTTTTTAAATTAATAGTTTACCGTTAATTTTGTCTTTCAAATTTTACTTCATCTTTTCATCATGAAATGTGGAACAATTATTCACACCTTAATTGAAGTTTAAACCTGTCCAACTGTTAATTATCATTTCAAGTAAGGATAAGATGAAAAGGTTTCTTCCTTAATCTTGATCCAAAAACATTAGCTTTTGTTGAATCTTTCAAAATATAGCAAAGGACTGAATTTGCCTTCATTGTAATTAAATATCAAGAATTACTAATCCAGTTAACCGATTAACTGCTGTTAAATGTTTTCACGCAAATTGTTGATTAATGATTTATGCTCAATATGATTGAGGCAAAATTGATTTGAAAAATTGGCAAAAAAGGTAAACTGAGAAAGGCTTAATAATGAATCAATTAGTAAAAGACTGAATCAGATATCAATTTGCAAATGATTAATTATCTTGCGACAAATTAACTGACTGTTGTTTTCATGCTTTCAGTGGTTAATTTAGTTTATGTCAATCATGATTGACAGTATGAATTGTTCAACTGTGCATGAATGAGCGACTGTTCAATAAAAGTTCATTTCCTTGATTATGGTAATGTTGAAATTGATTCAATTGCTATTTTTGATTATTCAAAGCTGTTAAGGAACATTTAGTTGAATCATTTTCATAGAAACCGAAACAGAAGAAGAAGAAGAAAGTAAAGAAAAATGAACTTTAATTAACCACTATTTACCAAGAAACGGGTAAGAAACTGGTTTTCATGGTTATTCCAGTTGCAAGAAGTGATTAACCAACAGATTCACAATGGGATTGATTAGGAGTAAACACAGCATTTCCAATTGTAATAGTTGATTTGCACGCAAAAAAAGTATAGCAATACAAATTTCAAGGTTCAGATTGGAAGGAAAACAATCAACAATTGAAAAAAGATTGAATTTACCAGAAAGCCTGATGTTATTAAGATCAAGCTAATAATAGTAAAATTGATTCCCTGTGTGATCAGTTGTATTGGTAATGAGAAGACAAAAGGTTTTGAAACATGAAAACTGAAGACTAAATTTGAATGGAATGACTGCAATTACAATTACCCTGACCATCATAATCATCATCAGGCCAACAGCAGGGTTTCCTTCAATTAATCTTTCAACATTTACCTCATGTGAAAGCTAGTCTTTTTCACCGTCAACATTCAATCAACATGAAGTCAGGTAAAAGAGTAGAGGAAGCATCAAAGTCAAGGTGAAAAAAAAGATTCACAAAAACGCCCTCAACTGTCATGATGGTGCTGTTGATGATGGTAGGAATGAGAATAATGTTGAGTAGATGAAAAAAATGGAAAACTAAATCATCTGTTAACAGTTAACTCTTTTCTTCCTTTTCTCATCCTTTTACTTGTTCAGACAAGTTAATGTTTCATAACTGATGGGTTCATGTCAATATTTAATGATCCATGAAAGGTTAGCTTTCAAATTGTTTCAAATTCATTGATAAAATGACATCGATTCTTGTCAACTTTGTTGATTCTGTGCAAGTCCAGAAATGATGTTCAACAGTTTAAACTCTGTTGCTCTTGAATTGTCTTTGGAAGTGAATTACATTTTTAGATTAAATGATTAAGTTGATTAAGATTAGCCAGTTTGAATGAGCAAAACTTGGAAGCACGGAAATGGCAGCAAGACGATGATAAACTGCATCATGATGAAACTGCACAAGGAAAGGCTGAAAATGAAGTAGACAGGTAACTCATGCAATGCCCATGATGAGAGAAGGATAACAAAAGGAAAATGTGAAAACAACTTTTGAGGTTTTTGTCCATTTAAAGTTCCCAAGCTTATTAGAGGCACGCAAGTTGAGTCTAAACAACAATGGCCACAACTCACGGCTACAATTGACATTGGCTTACTGTTGGTGAACAAGTAAAGAGTCAAAAAACTTGGACAATCAACTTGATTACAAATTGTCAGTAATGATGAATAATTTGTTTGCAACTCAAAGTATTGAATGAATGTGAAAATTGAATAAATAATTGATACAAATCAACATTCTTTGCCATTATTTATGGACAAAAATTGCTTCAATCAATAAACAAGTCAAAGACCATAATCAACAAGACCTCCAATGAAAGTCCAATAAAGGTAAACATTTAAACAGTTTTCCTTCAGTGAACCTTTGCTTCTCTCAGGTATTTATGTTTCCCGTTTTCAGAGTCACAGTTTTTTGTTGATTTAAGGTGTTTTCAGGTCAAACCTAATTTCCGGTTGAAACATGTTTCACACTGAACCATAAACGTTATCAGGTTAAAGTTGGTCCACTCAATTCCCTCTGTATTTACCTGTAGGAATGAGCAGGAAAATAAGTTGTTAACTTGTTCCGTTTAATCAATGTAATCAATGAACACTTAATTCACAATGATAAGGAAATTGGGTAAAAGGTAATTACAATTAGAGTTTTTTACAATCTTTTCAAGTTGCGCTCTTTGATCAATCAAAAAATACTTTTCAAACAACTTTCATTTTTGTTTTGTTTCGAGATGAATTGAAATTGAATGGGCCATTAAGTTTAAAGGTAAACGACGAAACATTTGAAAAGATAATTTCTACCTGTAAAGGAGAAACAGGTAGAAAATGGTTTCTCCATCATTTTTTGATGGTTCCTTTCACTTCTCTCATCGCGAAAACAAGGCTTTTTATTGTTCAATTGGCTTATTATCAAATGATGAAAATGGGTTTTGCCTTTTTTGGTCAGTTGACTTTTCATTGCATTGGTCAGCGTTTTTATTGCTATCAAGTGAGAGTTGTCCATTTTGTAACCATAACAATAAGGAAATAATGGAATAGTGAAATCAAGTCGATCAAAAGCAATCATTAAACAATAATTGTCCACAAATCATTGATTATTCATAATAATCAATAGATTAATGTTTCTTTTCTGGTTTGTTTTCAGACCAAAAACAATCTTTCAATTGCAATTCAATTTCCGCTGGAAGCAATCAAATACAAATTTAATAAGCTTAAGTGTATTGATATCACAAAGGTTGACCTTTTGGGTCACTAAAGAGACATCTTGTATCTTCAACTCTCGTGGCACTTTGCCTCAGTTGTAAAAGATACAAATGGTGAGGAAAAAGAGATTGCGGGGAAAACCGTTTATTTAAAAATGAATATCAAGCAGAAGGTTTACTTGAATAGGAATGAAAATGGCTTGACTCGCAAGTTACCTTGACGGAGCAAAACCAGTATTAAGAGGTTTAACCAAAAACAGCGGCAACACCAACATTGGATAATAGTGATAATAGTGAAAATAATAATCATTGAAATTTAGTGTTGAATGTAATCATCAAAATCAACACATTAAATGACTAGATTTAACTATACTTGAAATTTATATGAACCATGTAACAATCATCTTTTATGTACTACTAATAATGCTCATTGTTTATCCTCACACGATGATCATTTGACTTTATCCAGGGCAGACTTTCCCTCCTTCCCTTCACCTTCCTCTCCTCCTCATCTTCACCTTTTCATCCATTGTCTCTCTGTCTATGTCTGTCTTTTTTTTATTCTATTATATCTTTTTCTCTCTCTTTCACTCAATTTTAATCATCCACGTTCCCTCTTCAGCAGCTGTTCACATGTGATCCATTTAAAACAGTACCTAATGTGATGCAAAAAGATGATGAAGTGATGTTGGGAAGTGAACACACTTATGGTTTTTCATTTTGTTGGGTGAAGAGGAGAGAGCGAGGAGGGAAACCCTTCGGTTGATCGGATATCCGTGGCGTGTTTTTCAGCTAACATAAGCTTAAAATTGTTTAGTTGCATAGTTGACTTGACACTATACTTGAGACTTTCAAAATGACAGTTTTCCAAATCGTAAACCTTTTTCTTTAAAAAAAGAGTGTAGAGAAGGAAAACGTTTCGGGTTAAACATTTTCACTGGGAAAACAATTGATATGCTCAGGTTGGTTAACGGGAAAATCAAGATTATCAAAAGGCCTTTTGAGTTGGATAATCCAGTTTGTCGTTTCAATACAATTGATCTCGACAGTTTTGTCAACCCATCTTTTAAACATGAGAAAACTGTTGAACAAAACATTCAATATTCAATCCGATTATTGTACGAGTTTTAATTTTCACTTCAGTTGAAAACAGATAATCACACTTGAAATTTATGTAATTTATTTTAAAATTCAAAAATTGTCAACATCTTTTAAAATGGTTATTAGTTGTGAGCTTTGTAGGAGATTTACGGTAAAATTTTGGTAATTAAAGGTTTACTTACGAACTTTAACTGCTCTGTGATTAAGATTTTTAACAATCGTATGACAGTTGATTATTTTACCCTTAAGACGTTCTGTTTTTTTGTTGATAGAGTCAACTTCGGCTGACAGTTCATTAAAAATGGTGTTAGAGATGAAGGCTAGGCAGGACAATTGTTTAATCAATGCAACAAGCGTATTATTGGCAATGGCTTCTAATTCATCTAATTCCTTATCCGGAGGTAAAGGTTTTCTGCTCAAGAAAACAGGTTCAACAATCCAATTGACGGCAGGCATAGTGAAATGGTAGATCTAGTTGGTAACAAAAATGGTTAACCCAAAACAACAACACAAGAGGTAACACAATAAAACCTATTTGATATGTAAAATCCAAATCACAGCCAAAATGGGTATCCTATTTGCATCCTTTTCACTTTTCACTTTTCACTTCTTCATTGAACAATTTTTAGTAAATTTTTAAATACAAATATCCAGCTAGCTCAACTAAAATGTACCTACTTTGGGTTTGCGGTAAGTTTTCAACTTTCAGAAAACTTGTTTAATTTTTCAAAACTGTTGCCGACGCGTTTCAACGCGCCACCTAGGGGGAGAAAGTGTTTTTATACTGACAGCAAGGCCATCTTTATTTACCGAAACTAACTAAACAACAGAAAAATTATTTCATTAGATTGTGTCTACTTCTTGATCATGAGAATGCTTTTTTTAATCATTTAAGGGGCTTTTTTCAGCTCTTCGTTGAGTCAAGTTGTCGAGAACTCCATCGTAGTCATGAGTGCTAAATTATTGTTCGAAATTTGGAAATTAAGTTAGCGTTGTGGATATGCTGATATGAGAACAAGGACGATCTTAGAATAATGAAACCTGTTACAGTTACATTGAAGGATTCTACGGAAAAGTCAACTTGTGACCGTTTAATCTACTTCCAGGGATTGAAATCTATTGAGAATAATGTTTATGAACAATTTTATCTTCCACCAAATTGGAAATCAACGCAAAAAAGCTTTCGTAAAATGGATGCGTGAAATCGAGTGCTTAAGGCTTAAAGTGAAGCAACTCTTTTCCTTGCTCACGGTTGGCTCCTATTTTTATAACAAATGAGCCTAAAGACATGGTAACTTACATAAGTCCACCTCTCGAGGGTTAAACGATTATGAATTAAGCAACTTTCTTATGCTTCATCACATTTGCTTGGTAAAATTGCTGAAAATGCTTGCGTAAAGCTCAATAACAAACCCGGAACAAAAATGGACATAACAATCGCAAATAAACTGGTAAGTATCTATCATGAACACTCATTTTTAAAAAGTCTTAAATGTCAACAATAGATACTTCTAATCACTAATTTCAACATTTTATTTTGATATAGAAGAGTTAATTTAATCAACAATTCGGAGCTTTCCTAAACCTACCATGGACTCTTCTGGTTTTACGATCAATGCGTATTTGCGAGCAGTTTTGCATTCAAATTTTTCATCCATTTTGTCTTAAATTTTGACAATCGACCGATTTTTTGGACAGTTTTAACGGGACCCTCTAGTGTCGGTCAAGATAGAGCCATTGATTTTCTCACTGACCGCACAAATTTTAAAATCTTCACTCTTCTTCATACCCATGAGAACAGATGAAAATTTGAAAATATTCACAATTTTCAGTAAATCTCTAGCTGAGCTGGTTAAAATTCATTTCCATTTTGATGTTATTTCTGAAAAGAAATCTTGTCTTTAATAGTTGCTTAGTCTGTGAGCGAAATATCTGGAAAAAGCAAGCTCAATGGTTTCAAATTGAAATGGGGAATTTGAATGCAAATCCATAAGATGTTATTCCAAATTCATCATCTAAGCTGTTACATGATAAAACAATTGAAATCTGTCAATGTGTTTAGCCAACTCTGCAAATAATTATGAGAATAAAATTAAAGGGTTTGATAAGCACGAGGAAATTATTTTCATCAAATTGAAAAGGTGTTTCCCCTGAAAGCCTGGCATAGGTTCATCAACTTTCAAAATAAATTGGCAATTGATGAACATATTTGATAATTAAAACTCATTCAATTGACAATTTGCCCTGAATGGAGCCCATTCAATCCAGATCAGTGAGTAAACATTAAATAATGGTTAAAATGAAAGACCCAAAAGGATTGACATTTAATTGAACAATGATCGATGGAAACCTTCACGGTCCAACGTAAAAAATTGTGAGTAATCTGTTAATCATAATTATTATTATCATCTTTAACTACCTGTAATTCACGGCTTAAAAAACTTCAAAAGAAAACATTTGATAACTTTTTCCTCAAACCTTTTTTGTCTTCTTTACCTGATCAACATTTACATTGCTTGTTTTCATTTCACCAAGTTCACCTGAAAGTGAAACTTCAACTTTCACGATCAACTTTTTCATTTCATTTCATTTTTGATGCTCTTTCATCTTAATCTTTACCATGCTTAACCTAAAGTCCAATCATTTGATAATCTTGTTTTCCTTATAAACAAATTTGCTTTTGCCGTTTCAGTGAAAATTGTTTCAACCATGGATTCAAATGGTAATCTTGTGCCAATGGAAAACAAAGCCAAAATTGAGTTTACTGTTGTGCCTTTGAATGAACACTCAGAACTTGGAAACGATGAAATGAACAACAATGACAGCCCACCTGTGATTTTCGTTGAAACTGAACCAGTAAGCAATCCAATCATGGAATCAGATGGAAACGAATGTAAAATTGTAAGTAATAACTCAAATAAATGATCCAAGTTTTGGTTAAGAAAAAATTACAAAAATGTCACAAAAGTGTCGCTGAGTCTATGAATTTTTCAATTCAAAAGAGAATCATGAAAGCTTTTGGAACTTGAAAACTGATAAATTCTTGCTGTTGCACTTTGAATGTATTAGGTTTTGGCTTCTTCCATGTTAATTGCTCTTTTAAATTCGTTTTTGGGTAAATCAGAGTTGAATCAATTTGCGCTTTTTATTCTTCTTTGTGAATTTGTTTTGATTTTTAAATTGATCTGATTTTTTAGTAAATTTACTGTTTATGCCTTGAAATGTTTACCTTTAAAAAGGATAGACTGAATTTGAATGTTGATTTTTATGAAAAAATAAGTCTTTTTAAGGTCCATTTTTCATTCAATTCATCACTTAATTTTGAATTGTAACAACATATCAACTTCATAGGTTGAATGATCTTTTTTATGACTATTTTGCACTAAACATGTTTCGCAGTCTTTATGGTCAACATGGTAAACCCGAAGACTTTGTGGTTAGTCTTTTATTGATTTTTAATCAAAATTAGTGTTCTCTCAATTTTTGGGTTGAGGAATGAAGCTTTCAATTTGTCTATTGTCAATGTGCTTTTATTTGAACCTTTCACTGTCAATGTCGAATGCTCTAGGCAAAGATTTAATCTTAATCTTGTTGCTAATTTAAGCTGAGGAAAGGCCTTCAGTAAAAATGGGTTTGAAAATTTTCCAATGAAAATGTGACTAAAGTTTGTTTTGTTTTTAACCTCCAATCACATTTGACCCTTTCCAAGGTTTCATTCTTGCTCTTGAAAAGTGAAATGTCAATGAAATGAATTTGAAATCCCATGGATTGTGAGTTTCTTTTTCTTCATAGATTTACTTTGCTTTCGGCTGATTCAAGTCAACCCAAAAACCGGTTTAACACGTTTTGAGTTAAACTTAAAGTTTACCAATTTTCAAATGTTTAGGTAATTCATTAGCGTAACATTAACTTTTTTTCTGCCATTCAATGTTATCAATCTTTAATTTTCTATCAAATATTACATTGATCATGTAAATTAACCTGAACGGCCAAATCGTGCTTCCCTTTGCTCAAATTTTTTCCTCGTTTTCCATCTTTCCTCATAATCTGAGGAACTTTTTCTTTCGTTTTTAATCTCTCCTCACTCTAATGGATTCTCATTCACAGTTGACTTACAATCACTACCTGCTGTAGTATCAGCTTGTGTCGTTATTTTTGTGTTTCTCACCCTTTTCTCAATTGTTCATTTGTTTCAGAATATGGATCCAATTGGAATCACTTCATCTTCAGTCAAGATGTCACCTTTTCGAGTCTTTTTGTTTACATCAATACGTTTAATATTCCGTGCCCTTTCATCGTTTGTCGGACTGTTTATTTGTTCATCGAGAAATGCTCTTCCACCGATTAAGGATCCACTTCTCTTGAAGCCAGCAACAACTTTGGTTCCAATGATTAAATCTGGTTCTTTGAAAAGTGAAACATTGATCAAAGCTTACATATCTCGGATCAGAGAGGTTCAACCGCACCTAAACGCTGTAGTCCAAGAACGCTTTGATAAGGCTTTAGTAGAAGCAAGACAAATTGATGAAGCCATTGCATTGGAAATCAAAAATGGTGTCTCAGCTGATGAACCCAATTCCATTCGGAGAAAGCCACTTCTTGGCCTACCATTAACGACTAAAAACTCTCTTGGTGTTCAAGGAATGATCATGGACACAGGATCAGTACCAAGAGCTGGAACTTTGGCCGAGAAGGATGCCGAAGCCATTGGTAGAGCACGTCAAGCCGGTGCCATTATCATTTGTATAACAAATACTCCTGAATTGGTGCTTTGGTACGATTCCCACAACTTTGTCTACGGTAGAACCAACAACCCATACGATCTTGCACGAATCCCAGGAGGTAGTTCAGGTGGTGAAGGCGCTCTCATCTCCAGTTGTGGCTCTTTGATGGGTGTAGGTTCAGATGTCGGTGGATCCATTAGGATACCTTCATTTTACTGTGGTGTCTTTGGCCATGCTACTTCACCCGGTGGTGTTCCTGTCACTGGCATGTATCCACCTCCATGTAGGGCTTGGGCAAACCATTTGTCTTTTGGTCCCATTTGTCGATATGCAAGTGATCTTCGATTATTGCTCAAAGCTCTATCTCAAACTGAAGGTAGTGACCCATTAAAACTCGATGAAACTGCTTCTCTAGACAATTTAACAATCTACTATTTTGATGACATTGGCAATCCATTGGCTAACCCTGCTGTTCCAGAAATCAAAGAAGCTATTCAAAAGGTAAATCTATTTTTTGTTTATACATTTCATCCTATCAACTATCAGTCATTTTTTAGGCTCCATTAATAGTTCAGTTACCCAAAATATATATTTAAAGCAAAATTTTTGAAGGTTGGAAAATAATTCTCCTTTAAAAGTATCAATTTATATGACAAGTCTTGTATGTTTTGGGTGAAATAAGAATCAGTGGAAAAAATTATTGACTGCTCAAGAATCAACTCATTTGGTTTGGTTATCATGACTCCATTGATTCTTATCGCTGCTTTACGTTTCATTTGCTATCAAAATAGCAACATAATTATTGCTTTTTGGTGAATAAATGACGGAAAATGTTTTTTCCCGATAAACTTAAGAAAATTTCATTCACGTTTTAACGGGCAATCTTAATGTTCCATGTCATTTTGTAATTATTTATTTATTTTCGTTTTTTCTCGTTTTTCTACTTTTATTAACAGACCTTGGAACATTTCAGAAGCAACTTCAATGCTCGAATAGAGAAAATTTCGCATGGAAAAATGTCCTATTCTTTATTCATGTGGGCTGCTCAACTATCATCGGGAGATGCTTATCCAATGGCTGTTGAAGCCGCACTTCGTAGAGGTCGAATCAACCCTTACTGGGAATTAGTCAAGTTTTGCTTCCATTTATCCCAACACACTTTACCTGTCATCTTAATGTCACTGTTTGAATCAATAGGACCTAAAAAAGGATCCCCAATGCATGATAAAGTGCTCGAGAAAGGAAAAGAAATGAAGAATCATTTCACTAAATTATTGGGTAATTTAAATCAATTTTTGGTTCTTTTTCTTCTTCTAAGTCATTATATCTAACAGTCTCATTTCAATGTTTCAATTTCGTCTGTTTGTCCAGGTCCAAGAGGATTGATAATTTGTCCAACTCTTCCCATTCCTGCTGTGAAACACAGAACAACACTTTTAAATGGATTTGATCCAAGCTATACCATGTTTAGTAATGTAATTTCATTCCCTTCAACTCACTGTCCAACTGGTTTGACCAAAGAAGGCCTTCCGGTTGGATTTCAAATAATTGTCCCTCCTTTCAATGACAATTTGGCAATTACAATGGCATGTGAAGTTGAAAAATTATTTGGTGGCTGGATTTCACCGTCTGCGGTCAATTGCTGATTAATTATGTACAGAATAGCTTAATTACATTCAATGTAAATCAACATCAATCTCTTTCAGTGATGACTCCTTGATTATAAGGTTATACCTTTTTGGCCATCATTTTGACCATTGAAGCAACTCAATTAAAATAACTCATTGTGTGTTCACATTTCTTTGTTACCGATTAAATTTAAATAATAAATTGCTATTTTTTCATTTCCTATTTCAACAATTGGAAATAAATTTCAAAAATTGGATCCAATTTTTCCCTCTCTTTAATAAGACTACAACAAAAAAGTAGCTTTCCTTTGGATAATGACACTTATTAGATATTTTTGGAGACACTCCATCTATTGGAATAATTAATACTTTTCTCTTAAACAATTAAAAAATATTAACCAAAGAAAAAAGTACAGTCACTTTTGTGAAACTGCACTTAACGATTAACTGATTTTATTGCCAGTTTTCATTAGCTTCCTCTAGTGTCGGTCAAGACTAATTTTTCACATTGACCGTACAGATTTCAAATCCGAACTCAATTTAATATTGAATGATACATTCTGATCAAATCTAGTGATTCACCATTGAATACCATTTTGGGTACAATAAGTAGATTCAAGGGAAAACTGTAGTTTTAAGCATTTTATGATAAAATTTTGATCAACGAAATTCCCGATGATTGTTTGCTTGCCATTTTTGATTATCTGAACAACCTGGTTGATTTAATAAACTGTTATAAAGGTAAGTACCAATCATGTTTTTATGTATAAGGTTAGGTTACGTCTACATGGAAAGGGCCATCTGTGCGAAATTTTGAATCTGGAATAATTTAAAAAGATTGTTTATGAAATACCCGAGTCTCAAACATCTTTCGTTGAGGTACTTATCGAATATAACAGATGAACATATCGAGCAATTGTTTCACATTTTGCCCAATTTAGTGCTATTGGATGTTAGAAAGTGTTTCGAAGTCACTCAAGAAGCTGCTGATTATGTTAAAGATTATTGTGAAAGAAATGGACGATCAATCAAATTTTACTTCGATGGGAATGAACATGAAATCGAATCAAATTGGCCTCAACTGTCCATTGAACGAAAAATAATTAGTCGAGGCTTCATGATTTCATGAAAAATTACTTTCGCAAAAACTTTTTTACCCTTTCAAATTTATTGATCCCAATTGATTATTGAAAATTCCTTATTAATAAATTTGTTATTTTGTACCTTGAAGCCCATTCGAAGAGCTTCAACTTAACCTCTATTATTCATCCAATTTATTTCGCGATCTATTTTTCTAGTCAATATTATCTATTGTCTAACCTAAAGAAATGTCTTTGGGGTCAAAGGATTAGAACTTTAGATCCGTAGATAACTTTCATCGGTTTCAAAATAATGTTGATAGGTAAAAGATGAATGATTGTAGCTACAGTCACCATTGAGATAATGCACCGCACTGGTAATAGCTTATTATATTTTCACTATTCCTCCGGCAGCGTAATTCATAATTTTCAATCCTCCTAAATAGATCAAATTTACCCGAAATGTTGCTTAGAGCTAATTTCGCGAGTTTTTTTATTTGATTTATGATATTTCACGAAAGAAAATTGAATAAAATCGATTGATGATTAAAGAAATGGAATCGAAATTCGACGAAATTCAAAACTAGATATAACTCTCCTTAATAGAGACCATTGAAAAAATAAACATTTATTCTATCGTCTATGTTCACATGAAAGTTGGTTCTATTCAAAAGCATGATTTTAATCAGGTTAAGTCAACAAAATCGGAAAGTTTTAAGAATCTGGAGTGAAGGTGAATCAATAAAATAGAATCTAAATTTTTCTTATTGTAATAGTATCTCAATCTACTGCTGACATCTATGGGAACTAACATCTAATGATACATTCTGGTCAAACCTAGTGATTCACCGTTGAATACCATTTTGGCTACAATCACTAGACTCAAGGAAAACTGTAGTTTAAGCGTTTTATTATAAAATGTTGATCAACGAAATTCCCGATGATTGTTTGCTCGCCATTTTTGATCATATGAGCCACCTGTGTGATCTAATAAACTGCTATAAGGGTAAGTACCAATCATGTTTTTTGTACCATAAAAATCGTCTATTTCCATAGAAAGGAGTGTGTCACGCAAAATTGACTCTTGTTTAAATCAAAAATATGCCTCAATTACATTATCAAGTTTGAAAAGGTGTTTAGTTACATGGACACAATTTGTATTTCTTTCACTTCATATGATACCTTAGTCTTTCATGTTCAGACCGAATAGAAAAACCATTTTGAACTTATCAGGAGCAGATTTAACTGTATCATAGTCGGTTTGTGAGAAATCATCAAAAGTTGTTTCAATTTGAAGTGCAATTCAATTCAATGGCTTCTTTTAAAAATTAAGATACCTTTTCAATTTTTTGGGCAAACCTGATCGACAATTTGCTGAATTGACCAGTGATAGTTTCGCATGACTCAACTAGCTTCGGTCTCTGAGTATTTAAAATAATAATTCATTATAAAAGTTTCATCTGAATATATATTTTTGCGTCATCTTGTGATTATTGCATGACTAAACCATCTGGCTGTTTAGGCGCAGTATTTGAATATTTTTACAGATGTTGAGCCTAGTGTTGTATTGTTCCGAACCAAACAATGGACGATTTATTCTAGGCTCTCCATATCCATGAAACAACTGATTTGCTCTCAGAAATTTGGAAAAAATTGAAGTAACAAGAACGGTACAAAATTTTGTTCCATTGTTGATTCATTCATCTTAACATGAAATAATGCAAAAAAGTTCACTGATGTGACTTTTGATAGCAACCAGTTGTCGCTGACATACAAAATTATGCTAAAGTGAGCGATATTTGGCCCTTTTCTCAATCGAACAATTGTTTTTCAGGTTTGTTTTTGTTCTGATCTGATTTTTGTTATTTCATAAAAACAAATAGTTTTTTTTCAATCTATGGGAACAATACAACACTAGTTAAGTCATGTTGGGTTGGTTTTGAAAGTATTATTACTTAATATACCGGGTGTGGCAAAAGTCACTCCCAGCATATTTTCGCGCAAACTTTTGACCCGATAGAGCTATTCCAAAACGATCTTTTTCGTCGTAATCAGCTCTCCTTCGGTTATTATTTAATCATATGTTCAAAGTGCTAACCTTTACTGGCGATCGTTCTGACATGAAAAATGCAGAAAATTGTCTTAAAATGAAAAATTTGAGAATCGACGTTTTTCTACCCAAACCTTCATGGCTTCTTTGCAGGGTACTTTTGAGCCTTCTTGGCACTTAACCATTTCCGTTTAGTGGCTTTGATGCCGTCTTCGTAGAGATAATACCCTTTTATAGAAAATGTGCGATCTTTGCCGCTAAGATTGGACATTTTTCAAAATTCGAATTTTTAACTAGAAAATATTAAAAACCTCAACCGACGGCTCGAGAAAAAGACCTGAAAAATTTGATGACGATATCTATCACAGTTACTGAGAAAAAGCGAAAAATATGCTGGGAATGACTTTTGCCACACCCGGTAATTGAATACCGATGTGTTTAAAATGAGTAAAATTTTATTACAGTGTGCGTTAAATGGAGCTATTTAATTACTAAGCGGACCAAAAAGGTTAAATATTTAATATGTAAGATTCAAGTTTTATTAATTTTTCATGATCATTTTCAGCCATTTCTTAATCACAGAAATTTATATTTTCAGATCAGCGTGTTTATTCCTCTGACACTGTTTATTATCGAGAAATGTGTAAGATTGATTCAACCTGTCTGAGTAAATTATTTACAAATTTAATAGTAAGTTGATATTATTAATCAAACTTATTTTTGTATTTTAATTGAATATTTTCTTATTCATTTTATTACCACAGATTGTTGAATTGTCTTTTAATTTAAATCCAACATACGAAGATGCTATTGAATTTGTTAAAAAACAAAGATTTTTGAAAGGATTAATCAATCGAATTGATTTACCAGTAGAAACATATTGTGTAATATTCAATATATTGTGTAATAATATTCAACTTGAAATGTTATCCGTCCAGTATTTCAATCCAAACAATTTAAGAAATGGTTCCAGCATAAAGCAATTGGTTGTTCGGAATCATAGTCTAGCGGCTTTGAAAAGACACTCACATTATTTGCCAAACCTTGAAAGACTAAAGATTACAATTTATGGTAATTATGAAAATATTTTGGTCAGAAATGTTCATTTATGAAAATCTATCGTTCAGTTCCAGATAATCCCTACGATGGTCCAGTATTGAAAAAGCTCAAAATACTTGAGCTGTCTTTCCATGCTCCCTGGGATAGTATAATTTTTTATGGCCTCCAGTTCATGGATTCATGTCCAAATTTACAAAGTGCACATATTAAAATGGCCGCTAATACTTATTTTTTCGATGAAACATTGAAACACAAATGTTTGCAAGATTTAGTTTTACAATCTGTAAGTATTGCTCCGATTATAAATGTAATTGTTTTTTTGAAATATATTATAAAACAGATACATTTCAGATTAAAATCAACAAGTTTAGGTTACCTCAGCATGGAAAGGGCCATCAAAATGTTTCCATATAAACTAATTGATTTTATATTACAGTCTGACTTCTATAATGGAATTAGTACCAGCACACGGGTTGGAAACGAAAACGATTTAAAACGATTGCTTATGAAATACCCGAACCTCAAACATCTTGCGTTGAGGGGCGCTTGGAAAATAACAGAAGAACATATTGAGCAATTGTTTCACATTTTGCCCAATTTAGTGGTATTGGATGTTAGAAAGTGCTACGAAGTCACTCAAGAAGCTGCCGATTATGTTAAAGATTACTGTAAAAGATATGGACGATCAATCAAATTTTACTTCGATGGGAATGAACATGAAATCAAATCAGATTGGCCTCAATTGTCCATTAAACACGAAGCAATAAGTCTAGGCTTTGATTTCATGAAAAATTGCTTCTTGAGACAGCATGACTTCCTTCCAAATTTTTTGATTCCGATTGATTATTGAAAACTACTCATTAAATTGTATATTTGTTATTTTGTAGCTTGGAAGCCCATTCGAAGAGTTTCAACTTAATCTCTATTATTCAGTCACTTTATTTCGCGATCTACTTTATAGTTGATATTATCTATTGTCTAACCTAAAGAGATGTCTTTGTGGTCAAAGGATTAGAACTTTAGATCCGTAGATAACTTTCATCGAGGTTTCAAAAATAATGTTGATAGGTAAAAGATTGTAACTGTTTCTAAATAAAATAATAATTGATTCGATTACTTTGGAGATAGATTGGTCTAAAAACGTTTGACTGGATTTGTTTGATTAAAAATTGTTATGGTTCAAGATATTGCAATGCAATTTTAAAGTAAAACATGATTAGACTAAAATTTGAATAAAGGCAACAATTTTCATCAAACTAGTAATCAGGGTTAAGTTAACGAAATCGGAGATTTTTTTCTGACTCCTAGTGTATATAAAGACCTTTCAGATAATTATTGCAGTAAGCTGTGATGATTATTCATTCATTGCATTTCAAGAGTATTCATAAAAAAATTATCAGCCACATATGTAAGCATGCATGGGCGTGAAGTTGAGCACCATTATCTAATAGGCCTTCGTATTCACAGTTGAGGCAACACATACAAATCATTTGCCATAATTTGTACAAATTAAATAATTCTGCATAAACATTGTATATTATTAATTTATTTTTCATGAATCTGATGCAAATCAATAGTTTGTCGTTGTTTACATTTCTCTTGACATGAGTGATTTAACTTAGGTATTGAGATCCGTGGTTAGGAAAGATCCGTTTTTTATTTGATCATTAGCTTTTGGTATCCGCTCTAGCATTAGACTACTGAATATTTAAAAAATTGAACTGATTTTCATTTATTAATAAATAACTTTCTAACTCGTCATAAGATTTGTGATTTAATAATCATTCACATTAATGAACGAAGTATGCAATCTGAAAGAAATTCAATGCTATGTTCTAAATAAAATAAACATTTATTTGACTTCTTTGGAGATAGATTAAAAATGTTTATGATTCAATAAAATTTCAAAGTGGCCTCAAAATGGCTTTAAAGTTTTTTTCGATTGTTTACCGATATCTAACGATTTATTAGCCCAGAAAAAAATTGATTAAATGATTGAAATTCTCTCACTGAGATCTATCTTCATATGAAGTTTCAAAATAATCGAAGAGGAGGCAGATTTCGCTCTTATCCTTTTAAATCATTAAAATGCTACACAAAAATCATGTCATTGTATTACTTATGTTTTCAGATTTGATACTTGATTTTTTCAAGATAAATGGTAAATCAAACACAAATTCTATCATGTACTACAAGTTTTCTTGATCATTTCAACCTCTCAATATTGTCAAATCTATCGTTAATTATTTACAAAACCCTGAATGTCTGATTTTTGAGTTTTTATGAGTCAAATCATTTCAAACTCAAAGTTTCACTATTGATAAATTGCCGTTCAAGATTGCAATGATTGTTAAGTTCAGGTTGTCTCTTGTTTTTGTTATAAGCAGATGATTATGATAAAAAATCTACTAACCGCTCAACACTTAAAACCAACCGCAATGTTGATGTTTATGTTAACTGTGACTTTGTTTGTAAATGTTGCCCTTGTTTCATCCCATTCCGAAAGATCCATTGAAATAGCCAATCATGATGCTACAGTGGTCGACTGTGCTCGATACAAGAGATAAGCCAATCACTATGCATGTGTCATTACTCCATTCACGACTGAAGGTCCATACTTTTTACCCGATGACTATGAACGATCAGACATTACTGATGGCCAAACAGGAATCGCTTTGAATTTAAATCTTCTATTAACCAATGCTAAAGATTGTTCACCTTTATCCAACTATTATATCCATATTTGGAACGCTAATGCTATGGGTCACTATTCAGAGTACAAGAGTTTAATTATTTTGATCATCCAACTTTCCGTCCAAAGCCAGTAGTGATCAGGGTTAAGTCGTCAAAATTGGAGATTTCCAAGAATCTGGAGTGAAGTTGAATCCTTAAAATTAGAATCTCAATTTTTTATGTAGGATGGTATCTCAATCTACTGCTGACATCTATGGGAACTACAGGGAAATGATACATTCAAAATTCAATTTAAAATTGTTTTTCCGTTTAATAAACGGCGTTTATTACATTCTCATCAAATCTATTGATTCACCATTGAATATTATTTACAATCACTAGACTCGAGGGAAAACTGTAGTTTTAATCATTTTATTATAAAATGTTAATCAATGAGATTCCCGATGATTGTTTGCTCGCCATTTTTGATTATATAATTGACCTGGATGATTTAATAAACTGCGATAAAGGTAAGTACCAAACGTTTTTTACCGCAAAAATCGTCTTTTCCATTGCAAGGAGTGTATCACGCTAAAATGGCCTTTTTAAATCGTAAATATTTCTCAATTATTTTAAAGTTTGAAAAGGTTTTTAATGTCTTCTTTCAAAAATTAAGTTATTTTCAATTTAAAGATAGTCAATTTTTTGTAACAGACGCCCATTCAGTGATGATTGCAATTTTTTGGGCAAACCTGATCGACGATTTGCTGAATTGATCAGAGATATTTCGATTGAGTCAACTAGCTTCGGCATCTGAGTATTAAGAAAATAATCTCTGAGAAGATAGGATAAGAAAATAGCCTCTTGAAAATAATAATTCATTGTAAAAGTTTCATCTGAATAAACTTTTTTTTGTAATCTTGAGATTATTGCATGAACCAACCATCTGGCTCTTTAGGCGCAGTATTTGAATATTTTTAAAGATGTTGAAGTTGTAGTTTAAAATTGGAGAACAGGAACAAAAAAAAATTTTCAATCGGAACAATACAACACTAGTTAAGTCATGTTGTAATGGTTCTGAGAGTAATTGACTAACGATTGAGCAAATCAATATTTATAAAATAAATAAAATTTCATTACAGTGTGCGTTAAATGGAGCAATTTAATTGCTAAGCGAACTAAAAAAGTTAAATATTTGCGAGGTAAGATCAAGTTTTATTGATGTTTCCTGCTCATTGTCATCCATTCTTAATCACAGAAATTTATATTTTCAGAGAATCCTGGTTATTCATCTGACACTGTTTATTATCAAAGATCATGTTCGATTGATTCAACCTGTCTGAGTAAATTATTTACAAATGTAAAAGTAGGTTGATATTATTAATCAAATTTATTTTTGCATTTTTATTGAATATTAATTTTCTTATCTATCTTATTGACTAAGATCGCTGATTTGTCTTCTGAATTACATTGTAAAGTAGAAGATGCTATTGAATTTGTTAGAAAACAAGAATCTTTGAAAGGATTAATCAATCCTTTTGATGTACCAATGGAAAAATATTGTGATGAACTCGAAATGCTTTCTGTCGAATATTTCAATCCAAACAATTTAAGAAATGTTTCCAGCCTAAAGCAATTGGATGTTTGGGAATATACTCTAGAGGCTTTTGGAAGAGATGCTCATTATTTGCCAAACCTTGAAAGACTAAAGATTCAAATTAATGGTAATTATGGAAATATTTTGCCCAGAAATGTTCATTTATTAAAATCTATCGTTCAGTTCCAGACAAACACTACGATGGTCCAGTATTGGAAAAGCTCAAAATACTTGAGTTGTTTCACTATTACGAAGAACAACCTGAAACTTCTTTTCATGGTTTCCAGTTGATGGATTCATGTCCAAATTTACAAAGTGCACATATTGCATGGATATCCTAATTGGTTTTCGATGAAACATTGAAACTCAAATGTTTGCAAGATTTAGTTATACAATTGTAAGTATTGTTCAGCTTTGAAATGTAATTGCTTTTTGGAATATAGAAATTTCTTGAGAATAAAATCAACAAGTCAGGTTAGGTCAACAGGGAAAGGATCATCTGTTCCATGTAAACTAATTGATTCTATATTTTCAGGATGGACTGGATATCAAAAATGATAAGTGGAATAAATATAAAAGATTACTTATGAAGTATCCGAATCTCAAACATCTTTCGTTGAGGGGCTTTTGGAAATTAATAGATGAATATATCGAGCAATTGGTTCACATTTTACCCAATTTAGTGCTATTGGATGTTAGGGAGTGTGACGGAGTCACTCAAGAAGCTGCCGATTATGTTAAAGACTATTGTAAAAGATATGGACGATCAATCAAATTTTACTTCGATGGGAATGAACATGAAATCGAATCAGATTTGCCTCAATTGTCCATTAAACACGAAACAATGAGTCGAGGCTTTGATTTCATGAAAAATTGCTTTTTCAGAGAGCATCTTCTCCTTCCAAATTTTTTGATTCCGATTGATTATTGAAAACTACTCAATAATATATTTGTTATTTTGTACCTGGAAAGCCCATTCAAAGAGTTTCAACTTAATCTCTATTATTCATTCACTTTATTTCGCGATCTGTTTTTCTAGTGAATATTATCTATTGGCTAACCTAAAGAAATGTCTTTGTGGTCAAGGATTGCAACTTTAGATCCGTAGATAACTTTCATGGTTTCAAAAACAATTATGATAAGTAAAAGATTGTAACTGTTTCTAAATAAAATAATAATTGATTCGATTGCTTTGGAGATCTAAAAACGTTTGACTGAATTTGTTTGATTAAAAATGTTTATGGTTCAAGATATTGCAATAAAATTTTAAAGTGGAACATGATTAGACTAAAAATTAAATAGAGGCAACAATTTTCAGTACACTAGTAATCAGGATTAAGTTAAAATCGGCAATTTTTTTCTGACTCGTCAAAATCGGAAATTTTCAAGAGTCTGGAGTGAAGTTGAATCCTTAAAATTAAATCTCAATTTATGCATTTCGATTGTATCTCAATCAACTGCTGACATCTATGGGAACTACAGGGAAAAACAATATTAAATGATACATTCTGATCAAATCTCGTGATTAATCATTGAATCTTTTACCATTACTAGACTCAAGGAAAACTGTAGTTTTAAGCATTTTATGATACAATGTTGATCAATGAAATTCCCGATGATTGTTTACTTGCCATTTTTGATTATTTAAACAACCTTGGCGATTTAATAAACTGCTATAAAGGTAAGTACCAATCATGTTTTTTTGTATCATAAAAATCGTCTAATTCTATAGTAAAGAGTGTGTCACGCAAAATTGACCCTTGTTTAAATTGTAAATGTGTATCAATTACATTATCAAGTTTGAAAAGGCTGTTCAGTTGTTGAGCTACATGGACGCAATTTGTATTCCTTTGACTTCTTATGATACCTTAGTTTTTTATGTTCAGACTAAACCAAAAACCCTTTAAAGTTTATCAGGAGCAGATTTAACTGTACCATAACTGACTTGTGAGTCAAAAGTAGTTTTAAAGTGCAGTGCAGTTCAATTCAATTCAATGTCTTCTTAGAAAAATTAAGATACATTTTCAATTTGACGAGTGACAATTTTTCGTGAAAGACACCCAATCAGTGATGGTTGCAATTTTAATTCAACCTGATCGACGATTTGCTGAATCGAACAGAGATATTTTCGCATTGAGTTAACCGGCTTGAGGCTTTTAGTATTAAAAATAATTCATTTTAAAAGTTTCATCTGAATAAACCTTTTTTTCATCTTTGATTATTGCAATAACCAACCACCTGGCTGTTTAGGCGCATTATTTGAATATTTGCAGAGATGTTAAGTCATGTTGTGTTGGTTCTGAGAGTAATTGAATAACGATTAAGCAAATCAACCTTTATTAATTTAGTAAAATTTTATTACAGTGTGCGTTAAATGGAGCTATTTAATTGTTAAGCGAACTAAAAAAGTTAAATATTTAACATGTAAGATTCAAGTTTTATTAATGTTTCGTGCTCATTGTGATATTAATCGCCGAAATTTATATTTCCAGATCAGCGTAGTGATTCATCTGATGTTGTTTATTATCGAGGATTATGTTCGATTGATTCAACCTGCCTGCCTAAATTATTTACAAATTTAATAGTAGGTTGATATTGTAAATCAAACTTATTTTTGAATTTTTAAGTCAATATTAATTTTCTTATCTATCTTATTGACTAAGATCGCTGATTTGTCTTCTAAATTAAACCTCAAAGACGAAGATTACTTGCTTCCAGATGCTATTGAATTTGTTAGAAAACAAGCATCTTTGAAAGGATTAATCAATCCCTTTCGCCAACCAATAGAAAAATACCGGTATTGTGATCAACTTGAAATGCTATCCGTCATAAATTTCAATCCAAACAATTTACGAAATTGTTCCAGCATAAAGCAATTAAATGTTCGGAATTATACTCTAGAGGCTTTGACAAGAGATGCACATTATTTGCCAAACCTTGAAAATCTAAAGATTAAAATTATTGGTAATTATGAAAATATTTTGCCCAGAAATGTTTGCTCATGAAAATTCATCGTTTAGTTCCAGACAATCACTACGATGGTCCAGTATTGGAAAAGCTCAAAATACTTGAGCTCTATTCCATTAAATTACAGCGTAAAAGATTTTTTTATGGTTTCCAGTTGATGGATTCATGTCCAAATTTGCAAAGTGCACACATTACCATGAATAGTCATAGTTGGTTTTTTGACGAAACATTGAAACACAATTCTTTACAAGATTTAGTTATAAAATTTGTAAGTATTGCTCAGATTTGAAATTTAGAAATTTATTGAAATACATTTCAGAATAAAATCAACAAGGTTAGGTTGCGTCAACATGGAAAGGATCATCTGTTCAAAATTCTTCCATATATTTTATATTTACAGGCTGCAGCCGAGTATGGTTTCGGTAATGCTCACTGGAATAATTTAAAAAGATTGCTTCCGAAGTATCCGAATCTCAAACATCTTGCCTTGAGGTACTATTCGAATATAAAAGATGAACATATCGAGGAATTGGTTCACATTTTACCCAATTTAGTGCTATTGGATGTTATTGAGTGTAAGGGGGTCACTCAAAGAGCTGCTGATTATATTAAAGATTATTGTAAAAGATGTGGACGATCAATCAAATTTTACTTCAAAGGGAATCAACATGAAATCAAACCATATCGGTTTGGATTATCCAAGAAACGCGAAAATATTAGTCGAGGCTTTGATTTCATGAAACATTGCTTTCGCAAAGACTACGGTTACCTTCCACATTTTTTGATTCCAATTGATTATTGAAATGTATTTATTAATACATGTAATATTCAAAATCTGAGTGTTTAAAATGACCAAAGAAAAATGGTCCAAATTATTCTCTATTCTATGTCTTTTGAGAATCTACTTTATTTCGCTTATTTTGTGCCAATTTTCCTCAAAAGTTTTTTCTTAAATTTTAAATCATTAAAATGCTACACAAAAATTATATCATTGTATTACTTGTGTTTTCAGGTTTGATACTTGATTTTTTTCAAGATAAATGGTTAATCAAACACAAACATGTACTAAAAGTTTTCATGATCATTTCAACCTCTCAATATTGTCAAATCTATCGTTAATTATTTACAAAACCCTGAATGTCCATCAAAGAAAATCTTTAAAAAGTGCTTTGTTTTCATGATAAATTGTAATAGAAACTCGTGTTCAAAAAAGAGTAAATTTTAGCAATTTAAAGAATTAATTATTCAAAGCTGTTATTATTAAGTCTATGAGCTCTCTTGACTTCCTCTATTTCGCTTACGCTATTTGTCTAGCTCGGTGTTGAGACCAAACCAATTTTTTTTTATAATTTTTCATTAAATGCAATCCTGATTTTTGAGTTCTTATGAGGCCAATCAGTTCAAACTCAAAGTTTCACCATTGGTAAATTGCTGTTCAAGATTGCAATGATTGTTAAGTTTAGGTCGTCTCTTGTTTTTATTATAAGCAGATGATTATGATAAAAAATCTAATAGTTTAGATGATAAGATGGCAATTAAATTAAGACAATATACATCATGGTGGTACTTTCAATTCTGAATGATGATCAAATGGTTGGAAACAGCTTTACTGCTAACAAATATCGATCGCTGAAAGAGAGACAGAAAATTGGAAAGAGAGATTCGACAGAGAAGCAAAGCTCTCTTTTCTCACATATGTAACCATATGTTGATCTATTGTTGTTTTTTCATTTCTCTCGTTTTTTTGGTAATTTTAATGGTGATTTATAATTTAAATTATATTTTAAAGTTTAATCATGGAAATGTTTAGTCAAATTATTGAGAAAATAACAACCGAAGCTCAACAATCTTCAGCTCAGTCAATTGTAAATCAAGCTCGTGAAATTAAAGGTTGGTACATTTGTTATATCATTTTCAATTTGTAATGAATCTGGAAATAAATTGTATTGAGTTAAATTATTTTCTCTCGCCCACAGAACCGACAACAATAGCAGCTTTTAAAGCATATATTTTGGATGATTACCTGAAATTGTTATCTGCCTGCTTATCATCAAAAAACGCCAAGTTGAGACAATTTGCTATCAATGGCTATGAAACAATTATACGAGACAACTCTTTATGGCGACCTGATGTTTGTGAGAATCACTTTTTCAATCGTATTATTGCTAGCATTGGATCAAAAATTACAAGTTGCAATGAAATAACTCAAATCGAGCTTCTTAAATGCCTTTTGGAAGTCACCTGTTCTCGAATCTCTCATCTTAGATTCACTGATCTTGTAACGGTTTCCGATATTTGTTGTTCCACTATAATCTCATGTGCAACCTCATCTACAGCATCTCCGCTATCACCAACAAACTCTTTCACCAGTTCAATAACATCTCAATTGTCAGCATTGAAATCACCCTCAGACCCCTTTGGAGGATCATTTGGTTCACCAGTTAGTCCAAAAATTACTGCAGCAACAGCAACAGCCATTCAATCAAATAGATATTTTGTTGGCTACCTGATCACGGAAAGTTCAATTGAATTGAGAGATGCCATTAATCACCAGATAATTCCTCTTCTTGATTCACTGACAACCAAGATTCTCGATTTGCGAAAACGATGTTACTCTAATGGTAAAGATAAAAGCTCACGGACTCAAGTTACTATTTTTTCCATTCAAATTTCATTCCACCTTAAATGCATTACTGCGATATTGACATCATTGGAAATTGATAAACAAATCGAAAAAGATGTATCCGATTTTGTCTGGTTAGTATAATATTATTCATCTCACAATATTGATTTTGTAAGAATTTTCATTCCAACTGATATCATATAACAGGTGATAGATCCTTTAAATTATCTCATTCGTCTTGTATTACTTTTCAGGCAAAAGTTGGGACCAATGTTGATTAAGCTTCTGAATTTAAATATGAGTCGACTTAAATCTCCTAAAGTCAAAAATGTGAAAAAAAGTCGCAAAAATTCCAAAGATTTGGTTTTTGGTCGAGGAGCCGAGTGTTTATCTTTTATCGATAAAAATATTATTCAATTGAAGGAAGTCTATGAGTAAGAAATTGATTACATTTTTTTATTAAATTTAAATTTACCAAGAAACACCAAGCTAACGAAATATTTTCTCAACTGCAGAGTTTCTCGAGAACTGGTTCAACTTTTTGGTCAAATCAAATACATGAGACCTGTATTAGAATCAATTTTTCATCGGATGCTACTCTACCCATTGATACACTTTCGTTTAGAGGCTCTTCAATCCGTGAAAGAGGTTTGTTATTTATCTTATCATCATGAAATGATTCCTCATGCTTTTTGCTTCATTATTTTCTAATATCTTCTCTAGTTGTTTAAAGACGCTCAGTGCACTATTAAATTGTGTACCACCATCAAATCACAAAACCAGTTGTCATGTACTAATCAAGATTTAAATTTGATTAAGATGTAAGTTGAAAAATATTGCTTTTATTGTTTTTCTATTGATTTAATTTATGCTTTATCTTTGCAGAATTATTGATTCACTTCATGAATGTAGTTCAACCAATGACCAAGAAATTGCCTTTCAAAGTGTCTATTGTATTATGGCATTAATCGAAACATTGGACTTTATCGCTTCTGGGAAGAGTTTAGCATTTCAAGAGTATTCTAGTGTTATAGAATCGGAAGAGACCACTGATGATCCTTCTGATCATGATGATATTACTAAATTGAATT